CTCCATCCTATCTGTGTCTCCTCCTCTCCTTATTCCTTCCCTCCCTCCTTCCTTCTTTTCTTCCTCTCCTTGTCTCCTCATCTCTTTCTTCCCTCCCTCCTTCCTTCCCTCCCTCCTATCCTTCCTCTCCTTGTCTCCTCATCTCCTTCTCCCCTCCCTCCTTCCCTTCCTCTCCTCCCTCCTTCCTCTCCTTGCCTCCTCATCTCCTTCTCCCCTCCTTCCTTCCTTCCTTTCTTCCTCTCCTTGTCTCCTCCTCATCTCCTTCATCCCTTCCTTCCTCCTTCTTCCTTCCTTCCTTCCTTCCTTTCTCTTCTTGTCTCCTCATCTTCTGCCCTCCCTCCCTCCTATCCTTGTCTCCTCATCTCCTTCTCCCCTCCCTCCTTCCCTCCCTCCTCGTCTCCTCGTCTGCTCATCTCCTTCTCCCCTCCCTCCCTCCATCCTTCCTTCCTTCCTTCCTCTTCTTGTCTCCTCATCTCCTTTTCCCCTCCCTCCCTCGTTCCCTCGTCTCCTCGTCTCCTCGTCTCCTCGCAGCGACAGTGTGGAGAGGAAAGGGGGGCTGACTCACACGTTTACAGCAATGCAGCTTCATCATCTGTCTTCATCTCCGTGACAGCAGCGAGCCCGGGACGCCGAGGCCCCTCCCACCTCCGACGAGACCCCTCCCCCTCCCTCCATCCCTCCATCCCCCCTCACACACACACTCACACACACACACACGGAGCCTACAGGTCTCTCCACAGCAACATGTTGTGTTCAGTGGAATTTGCTGCGTCGAACAATCGGGTTTCCTCATGCGGCTGGAAAAAGGAAACGAGGAAAATACAGACACGGAAAAACAGGGAATGTTGAACGTGAAGATATTTTAACAGTCACACATTTATTTATCTATTCATCGACTGTACATTAAGGCTTCTTCCTCTCCTTGTCTCCTCGTTTCCTTTCCTCCTTCCGCCTCTTGTCTCCTCTCCTTCTTCTCTTCTTCCTTCCTATCCTTGTCTGCTCATCTCCTCTCCCTCTTCCCTCATTCCTTCTTTCCTTCCTTCTGTCCTTGTCTCCTCCTCCCCATCCCTCCCCCCTTCCTCTCACTGTCTCCTCGCCTTCTCTCCTTCCTTCCTTCCTTCCTTCCTTCCCTCTCTCCTTCCTCCTCTTGACTCTTTTCTTCCTATCATTGTCTCATCTCTGTCCTGTTCCTTTCTTCCATCCTTCCTTCCTTTTTGCCTTCCTTCCTTCCCTCCTTTCATCCGTCCTTCCTTCCCTCCTTCCTCCTATTGTCTCCTCATCTCCTTTCCTTCTTCCCTCCCGCCTTCTTTTTTCCTTTTTTCCTCATCTCTATTCCTCCCTCCTTCCTCTCACTATCTCCTCGTCTCCTCTCCTTCTTCCTTCCTTCCTTCCCTCCTCCTATTGACTCCTCATCTCCTTTCCTTCTTCACTCACTCCTTCTTTTTTCCTTCCTTCCTTCCTTCCTTCCCTCCCTCCTTCTTTTTTCCTTTCTTTCTTCCTTCCTTCCTCCTCTCTCCTTCCTCCTCTTGCCTCCACTCCTCCTTCTCTCCTTTCTTCCTATCATTGTCTCCTCATCTCTGTCCCTCCCTCCTTCCCTCCTTCGTTCGTTCCTTCCTTCCTTCCTTGTCTCCTCATCTCCATTCCTCCCTCTTTACACTCACTATCTCCATGTCTCCTCTTCTTCTTCTTCCCTCCCTGCTTCCTCCTCTTGTCTCCACTCCTCTTTCTCTCCTTCCTATCCTTCTCCTCTCTGTCCCATCCTCCTTCCTTCCTTGTCTCCTCATCTCCTCGCCTTCTTCCCACCCTCTTTCTTTCCTTCTCTCCTTCCTCCCTTGTCTCCTCATCTATTGTAAAATAAGACTTTTAAAAAACATTATGCAACAAATAAAAGTTAAACAACGGCGACTGAAGAATTTTATTTACAAATAGCTTAATAGTAAAAGTGTAAAATGTGTATTATTATGACAAAGATTGAATAACGCCTCTGTCTGTTTACGTATCATATCTGCAACTTCTGAATGATGCCCAGCTCTAGTAGTTAACCTGAAAACTACCACTACATGACATCACAAGGTGGAACAGAGCATTTTGAGCTTTGGAGATGTAGACAGAATAATAATGCAGGATTACCCGAGGCAGTCTGACTGAATATATTAAAAGTCCTTTATTACATGAAGGGACGCCAACGTGATGTAAAGTCAGTCTTTTAAAAGTCATTGTAATCGAGATTGTCCCTCCAAATATCAGAGGGGGCGACAGACTCCGTCAACTGTCAAAAAAATAAACTTTCTGGATTGTAACCTTAAAGGTCACACAACATCCGGGTCTCAGGGATGATTTGGATTATTCCATGTTTCTCTGAAAGTTAACTTTTTGGGTGATTTTTTTTTTTAAATTGTAAATGATATTTTTTTACTTGTGATAGTCAATAGTCTATGTACTTCATATGTGATGGACACACCTACTCCCCTCCAACATGTCTCGTTATTCTTGTTGTTGTTTGGTGGGGCTGCTCATTACTTATATATTTCTCATGCTTGGCCAACCTTTTGTTTTGTTTTGGGGTTTGCTCACTGTCTTTTTCTTGTTAATTGTATTTATTGACCTGTGTGTCTTGTTTTTACTACTTTGCCTTGACGAAGACCATCTTGCTGGTCGTAACGTGTTGGTGTCCCTTCATGTATTAAAGAACTTTTAATATATTCAGTCTGCGTGCCTCGGGTTTGTACTTTACCCATGTTTACATTTTCCTGTAAGGGTAATTTTCTGTTCTAAGAAAACTCTAGTTGTGTTTTTGAGGAGGTCAGTTTGAGTCAGTTTTATGTTGTATATTGTGGCACCTTTAATCATTTCAGCCCCAGTGTGATGCTCCGTGTTACTCTGCAGTTGTACAGAAAAGCAGAAATTTAATTCTGTCAGTTGGCCGTTTCGCAGCTCAGCCAAGCAGCTTCTAAAGAACCGAAGAATATTATTAGCATATTACTGCTAATGGGCCAGTAGAAACGGATTTGACTAATTGGTTCATATATATATATATATCTATACTATTCCCACGTTTAAATGGTGCTGAGGCGAGCTGTCAGGAGCAGAGCCCAGGGACCCACCTCCACATCTGATCAGCCAGGCCCCGACTCAAGTACGCAAGCTGCAGGATTATGACGACTGTGTGCTTTAGATCACTGGGAGCAACTGGGAACGCTGGAAGAAAAGGAAGGAAGGAAGGAAGGAGGGAGGGACTGAGATAGATAAGGGAGGAAGGGGGGAGCGAAGAAGGAGATGAGGAAGGAAGGAAGGAGGGAGGGAAGAAGGAGAAGAGATGAGGAGACAAGGAGATGAGGAGGGAAGGAGGGAAGGAAGAAGGAGATGAGGAGACAAGGATAGGATGGAAGGAAGGAGGGAAGGAGGGAGGGAAGAAGGAGATGAGGAGACAAGGATAGGAAGGAGGGAGGGACAGATATAAACAAGGGAGGAACGGGGGGAGCGAAGAAGGAGATGAGGAAGGAAGGAGGGAAGGAAGGAGGGAGGGAAGAAGGAGATGTGGAGACAAGGATAGGGTGGAAGGAAGGAGGGAAGGGGAGAAGGAGAAGAGATGAGGAGACAAGGAGATGAGGAGGGAAGGAGGGAAGGAAGAAGGAGATGAGGAGACAAGGATAGGATGGAAGGAAGGAGGGAAGGAGGGAGGGAAGAAGGAGATGAGGAGACAAGGATAGGAAGGAGGGAGGGACAGATATAAACAAGGGAGGAACGGGGGAGCGAAGAAGGAGATGAGGAAGGAAGGAGGGAAGGGGAGAGGGAAGAAGGAGATGAGGAAGGAAGGAAGGAGGGAGGGAAGAAGGAGATGAGGAAGGAAGTAAAGAAGGGGAAGAGATGAGGAGACAAGGATAGGAAGGAGGGAGGGACAGATATAAACAAGGGAGGAAGGGGGGAGCGAAGAAGGAGATGAGGAAGGAAGGAGGGAGGGAAGAAGGAGCTTCATTTTGGTTTTGGAGACAAATAATGAAGACATTTTTGGTTTTATATTGAAAAACGAATGAACGAATGATCCTGCTGCAAACCAGTGAACCTCGCTGTTTTAAAGGTGCACACTGTGACTTTTCTGGTGGAGGATCTGCTTTGTTCTTGTTTCCATGGCGATGTTACCGCTTCACCTTGGATGCTCCACAGTTAACATTTTATCAGCAGAATGTACTTTAAATCATTTGTTTCATAATAGTTGTAGTAAATGGAAAATATTTGACTCTTTCTTCGCTCGGGCCTTGAGGTGTTTCTTGTGATTGGGCTCAAAAACCAAACCAAACCGCCCACACTGATGGATCGCTCTTCGTGAAACAGGCCTGGAATCAAAACAAGCCCAAAACATGAGCCCGAATCGAGGCTAAAGCATTTAACCTATAACATGTTACTCAAAACACAAAGTAACCCAAGACCCTCCCACTCACCGAACTCTACATGCACTGAAAAAAAAAAGTTGCTGGATTTGCGTAAAAAAGTTATGGACAGCGGTTGCACGCAATAAAATTATGTTTAGGCTTTGAAACTTTTTTCGATCCCCTCTACACATATTTTTCTCGGAACATGAACATCACTTTTTCATGTTGATGAAATTTGAACAAATCATGCTGAATATGCATATTTGTCTTATGTTACCTTATCATGAAATGTATAAGTATGTATAATGTAATTTAATTGATCTAATTCTGTAAAAGAAAACAAAAACAGTCTTTAGTTTTCCACAGTTCTGTTTTTGTATTAAACAGAAATCAAACACAAAGAGACACACAGGGACAGAGATACACAGTTTGGAGCTGGACAGTGTGAAGATTTATTCCAGTGAAGAAGCTCTGGTCTCTGCCTGGCCACAGAATAACACATGATGATCACATTCTGATGATCTACTCTGTTCTACATGTTTAAATACACTTAAAGTACTTATTACTACAATAATGGACCAGAACAGAAGAACAAGAACATTAGAACTGTATCTGCAGAAACAAAACTCACCATGTGCTGCTTTTCTTCCTCTAAACACAGTAACAGGGAGGGCATCTGGTATAAAGTCTCCTAATGCCACATCACCTTGTACAAGTACGATAACAGTTTCAATAGGAAGTTCATTTTGAAAAAATTTTAAAATAATTTTAGTTGGTTTACTTACTTTGTTCATCTGTGGTCTGTGTTTTGTTGGTTCTCAAACATCTTCCTTTTTTCTGAAACATCAACTATAACATTCATGAACTTCCCCACAGCTCCAGCAGAGCTCTGGACGTCACTCTGTGTTTGTAGACGACTCTGGAACAAACACATTCAAATCTTAGTACAAGTGTCACACTCTTGTAGATGGACAGTCAAAGAACAATTTGTTTCAAGCTGTCCTTACATTAACTCTAATTTCAAATAAAACAACACAAACATGTTTTAACAATGACAACATTCTAGGCCGGAGAAGCACATATTGAAAAGTCTTACCTCCAGATCAGCTCTGATAATCCTCCTGCTCCACACTGTGTGTCTCTGCTCCTGTCTCTGTCCTGTGTCCTGTTACATTTGAATTTTTTCCCTCCAAAAGTTTTGGGGAGGAGAATTCCAGAGGGAGGAGCCTCACCAGAAATTATAATAAAGTCATGTTTCCTCAACCTGATTAAAACATGCAGGTCTCACATCGGCCACAATCAAGCGATGTTTGTAAGATTTAAACATGCTGGACAGAGAAACGTAAAAAAGTGATGTTATTGTTGTCAAATTTGTTTTTGCAATTTGAGCAACTCCTCTCGGACCGTTTTTTCAGTGTGTGTCACGTACTTTTTTTTTTTTTTTTAATAAGTAACTTCGAGTATACAAGAAGTTGGGCAATAACAACAATAGAAAGTAAATAAAGTGAAGTACAGAATAATAAATAAATCATAATAACAGTAAATAAACACTTAAAGTTCATTTCCAAAAGAGGTACATGTGTCATCGTACTTGATAATAATTCCTTCCTCATTTGACAGATTTTGTGAGGACCCGGTGATGACCTTTCCCCATTTAAAAGATCTCATATTTTGATTGCTTTATTGCTATGGCAACAGTAGAAGTTGCCACAGCTTCACGAACAGTTATAATGCAGCGTTCATTTATCCATACGTCTCCCAGTCGGATCTCGGATATGACGTCATGTCCACGCTTAAACCGTTTTATTATGTTTCATGTGGACGACAACCGGAAAACTGTTGTTGCTTTAGCATTGAGCGAGTACCAGGTGTTTTCCAAAATAAGTCTGTGCTTCAACTACACAACCTTGAGGAAGAATTCATTATAAATAGTATAATTCAGTATATTAGGCTACGTTCAGACTGCAGGGCTTAAAGGTTGTATGGAGGATTTTTTTTGTTTCAAATTGTCAATGATAGATTATAGATGCAGTAGCCTTGTAATTATGATGACCAAAAAAAAGAGAATAAAAATTCATCAACTCTGGACGTGGTGGGGCTAAACATTTGCCAATAGATAACGACACTGCCTCGTTATCTGTTAGCTGACAGGCTGTCAATCAATCTCCCTACGTTTCTAGCGTAACTGACTTGCCTGCGCGCCGCCGGTACGTGGTTTATGTACGACTGTCACGCAGTCCACAGACGCAAGACGCACAGACGCTGTTTACTCCACCAACGCAACAGTTCTTAGTGGCTTTTTTTGACCTATATCTTCCTCGCAGTTCGCACAAAGTTTGTTGCAATGGCGACAAGAATCCAGGAGCAGTTCGCCGCAAAAGAAAGTCCGTTTTTGAGGTCGCTGAAAGAAGAAGACAAGGGGAAAAGCAGCGAAGCCAAACTAAGGTGATTCTTATAGATTCATTCCAGCGATGGCGCGACTGAAGCAGACGAAGGGTCTAAAGACTGACGCACTGGTCCACAAATTACTCCTGGACAGGAAACTTCTGCTTATTATGAAAACGTACTTTATTTCCAAGAGCTAGACAAACGTTTTTCAGGACACGAAAGCGATATCCTATGTCTGAAAACGTCATTTTCAAGGCAAAGAAAGAGTCCGCTTGCTGCTGCATGTTGTAGCTAGTTCATTCGCACTGAATCTCCGCACAACCTTCTCTGCACCCCTTTCTCCTCTCTCCTCTCTCCCTGCTCCTCACTTCTCGTCTGCGAACGAAATGTCCGCGCACCCGCTCCCCCCGCTCCTCACTTCTCCGTCTTGCCTAACCAACACTGTAGTTAGTTGTTTACAAGTCATGTGCACCGGCTGTAAACAAACCTGTTTCTGGCGTAAGGAGGAGGCGGGAGGAGGCGTTTCTACGTAGGAGCTGTAGGGGAGGGGGGGTGGTTTCACGCATGCGCAACATTTGAAAAAGGACAAGTCGCTGGATTTTTCGTTCCTTGGAAAATCCTCTATGCAACCTTTAACGCTCAATTCGGATTTTTTTGTGAAATCCGATGTTTTTGTGAGGTCCTTCACATTTCCAATTAAATGCAACTATGTGATCCCCAGTGTGAATATTAAACGGCCCACAAGTGTCAACCGTAGCAAGCATGCTCAGTGTCTACGGAAGTTGTCCAAACATGGATGCGAGCTTTGAGCACCTGGAGATGTTAAAGTTCCTCTTGTATCGGAACCAGAACATGAACAACTTACTTGTTCTAAGGAGGAGATTGAGAAGGAGAAGGATGAAGTTTTTGGCCGTGGTGTTTTGTGGGACAGCGGCAGCGACGTCCGTTGAAAGGAACATGTGGATGTGGAGACGTAGCCAAGAGTGGTGAGTGGTGATGTGCTTCGCTTCAGTGACACGGAGTTCATTAACAATTTTCGCCTACTTCAGCGCAGAATAGTGACGTTTGTGGCTTGTTGATAACGTGTAGGTGGATGAATGCGCTTTGGCCGTTCAGACTGAAGTCACATGTCAAAAGATCAGATATGTATCGGTTTCAGGAGCACATATTGACGTGACCTGGATCGCATTTGAAAAAATCGGATCTGTGTCGTTCAGACTGTCATTAAAAGATCAGACACAGGTCACATAGAAGCCAAAAAATCAGATTTGGGTCACTTCAGGCTGCAGTCTGAACGCAGCCTTAGTGAAGCGAAAGTGTTGATGTCACATGATAGTCAATCGTTTTGGCACGTTAGCGAGCAGGAAATGGGATAAAAACATGGGCGACACCGACTACCAGACCTGTAGGCAGTGATACAGACACAGTAAGGTATCGCAGTGAGACAAGTGACTGACATTTAAACCACCAAAGCGTCCAAACACAATGAAAACAGTTCATACAAGTGACACTGGAGCCAGCCAGCTTGGATTCTATCTTGTAAACTTTGCTCGGTGTTAGGTTTATCTAAACATTAAAACAAGAAGAAAGACAAGAGATTAATTCAGTTTTACTCGCGAGGAGAACGGGCAGAGAGTGGGCATCAAAACCAACAGTCTCCACACGTTCTGATGACTCAAGGCCCTTCTCCTCTTTTTATTTCATTAGGAGGCCCTAGTTACAGAATGATAATTCTCAAGGGGAAGGGGAAACCAGCAAAGACATAATAAGAAAATGGTGCAGCTATGCATAGTCCAAACACATAAAACATTATTAACAATCAGGAGGTGCCTTAGGTTTGGACAGACACCATCATAACTCTTGCATGTGTGACAGTGGGAGTTGGCTTCATGTGAGGAATCATCTCGAGGTTCACTAGAGCGATAGGACACTGCACACAGTTGTCAAACACAAAGAGGTTATTCATTTTCATACAAGTGATTGGTACATTATTAATCAAAGAATTGTAGTACGTAAATGGTTAACTCATAGGCACAGAATATCACACAAGTATTTAGCAAATATGGGATAATAAAATTATTCTGACACTCGGTTTCCTCTGAGCTCTTCCGAGTTCCCCTGTTCGAGGAAAAGGGGCGTGTGAGTGCGTATCACTAGGCAACGTCCTTGGACCTCCGAGTCGGATTGATAAACAAACACATCATTAATAGAAGAGCATAACCTGACTATTGCATCACCAAGTTTTAGTAACCCAACTCAGTTTAAAGATGCACTCTGTAACTTTTCTGATACTGTGCAACTGATTCTGTCAACGTTCCTTATGAGATGCGACGCCAACCGGAAGCACTACTTTGTTTGAAGCTCTTTTACTCAAGTTAAGACTTATTCTGAGCTTTATTTTAGTACAATCTGACCAGAAAGAGACGGGTGAACTGATTTGTGTATTGTGTCACCATGTGAACTGCTGAACATTCTGCCAGTAGAGATACACGTAGAACACCCCCAGCGTGACGGAGAATGCTTTCCTGAAATAGGTTGTTGAAGTTCTTTTTTACACAAATAAAATGGTTCCATTAATTTGTTTTTTGAATACACAAATGTAATGTTACGAGAATAATACACTCTTGTTTTCTGTTGTTGGACGGTGGAACATGATTACAATAGACCACATTCTGGCTTTATAAAAAGATAAAATTATGTCTGAAAATTTTCCAAGAATTGTAACTAAATCAGTGAAAGAGAAGTTATCATCTTTCTTTTTTAACAATAATAAAAGTTTTACAAAATGTCTGTATATTCACAAAGCAATAAAACTGTATTGTTTGAAAAAGTAAAAGGGAGAAGCAGAGATATTAGTTTAGTATGCTTTTTTATTTTATTTTATATTGAATTATTAGATTGGGGTAACACGGTAGGATATTTGTCTACTTAATGACTTATAAATTTAAGTATTTTGACAATTTAAAAAAAAATCTGTTATGATATAAGTCATATGGCAGAGTGATTTGGTAAAAAATATGTAATTGCAATTTTTTCTGATAAGAATTGTGATGTAGCTCAGTTGGTAGATAGTTTGTCCACTGACTCAAAGTTGGTGGTTCACATCCCGCTCTTGACATAAACATCATTTGTTGAGCGATCAGATCCACTTCCATAGATGAATGCGGTCGTTGTGTCCTTGGGCAAGACACTTAACCCACCTCAACCCCAGTCTCTGTGTATACTGGTGTATGAATGTGATGTAAAGAGCTTTGAAAGCCTTGAAGTTGGAAAAGCACGCTAAACAAACGCGACTATTATATAATAAATATACTATAAATGAATACTATATATACTATACTATAAAATGAATTGACAAACTAATACTAGAATCACATTTCTGAACATCTTTGTACAGATCTAAACTACAGCTTTTATGCATAAAATTTAATACCGTATTTTTCAGAGTAAAAGCCACACCAGATTATAAGGCGCAATATCAGTAGTGTTGAATTCTCTCGTCTATTTTCATACATAAGACGCACCGGATAATAAGGCGCATTAAAGGTTGTATGGAGGATTTTAGTTTCAAATTGTCATTGAAAGTTTAAAATACCATTACAGAGACGCAGCAGCTTTGTAATTACGATGACCAAAAAAAAAAAAAAGAACGAAAATCTATCAACAGTGGACGTGTTGAGGCCAGATAAACATCACCCAATAGAAAATGAGGCTGCCTCGTTTTCTATTGGCTGTCAAACTTTCTATGTTTCTAGTGTAACTGACTCGTCGGTGCGCGGGGA